GTGTTCAAAATGAAAAATGTGTTTCTTTTTATGTAGAATGGATCTTCATTAAACTAAATGCACTTGTAAGCCAATATTGTAGACTTTAATTAAATGTGCAAAAATCTAAGATGATTTATGCATATGCAGAGGCTTGTATGCATTTCCATGTAGTATATTTACCTAAAGACTTTGAAAAACAGAGGATGCATCTATGTATTTATTAGATTTTTATCCTGCCTTTGTTTATAAGTAACAGAGCAAAGAATATACATAATTCATCGTCTTCCTCCTATTTTTTCCAGAACCATGAGGTGGTTTGAGCTGAGAAAGTGACTGGCCAAAGTCACCCAGCCAGTTTTCATGCCTAAAGTGGGACTAGAACTCAGACTTCTGGTGACTAGGCCAGCACATTAATCCCTAGGCCAAACAGGTTCTCTATATGAATAGAAACCAACGAATGAGAGAAGCAACCTAGAACTAAGGAGAAATTTCCTAACAGTTAGAACAATTAATCAGTAGAACAACCTGCCTCCAGAAGCTGTGAATGCTCCAACACTGGAAGTCTTTAAGAAGAGGTTGGGCAGCTATTTGTCTGAAATGGTATAGGGCAGTGGTGGCGAACCTATGTTCACCGAATTGGCCACACCCACCCAATGGGCCACACCCACCCGGCACTCGACAATGCATAAGTGGGTTTTGGGTTGTAGTTTGGGCACTCGGTGTCTTAAAGGTTCGCCATCACTGGTATAGAGTTTCCTTCCTGAGCAGGGGATTGGACTAGATGAACTCCATTGTCACTTCCATCATCATCATCATCATCATCATCATCATTATTATTTAGACGGCTATACATATTCACACTGGAAGTCTTTAAGAAGAGATTGGGCAGCCATTTGATATAGGGTTTTCTGCCTGAGCAGGGGGTTGGACTAGATGACCTCCACGGTCACTTCCAACTTTATTATTATTATTATTATTATTATTATTATTATTATTATTATTATTATTATTAGTAGTAGTAGTAGTAGTAGCAGCAGTAGTATTATTGTTTAGACGGCTATGCATATTCACACATGCACAAAGGGGCTGCACACACCCGCCTGGGCTAGTGGCCCTGTTCGCGATGCACAAATGGGCCATGCAACCCGCTCGGCACTAGCAGCCCTGTTCATGTGTGTGCAAACAGGCTGCACATGCCACCTGGCCTAGCGGCTCCATTTGCACATGTGCAAATGGGTCGTGCACAGTCACCGAATGCAAATGGCCCCATTCATGTCCGTGTGCATGCACAAATGGGGCTGCAGGCCCTAGCGCAAGTGGGCAGCTAGCCATGGCTACCACTGGCCAGCCATTTACGCGGCCCACTGGCCAAGAGACTGCAGCCTAGTAGTGGGCCACGGCCCATAGGTTAGGGACCCTTGGGGTAGAGATCACAACCAAGAAGTCTTTCCTTCTACCCAGAAGATATGGATTTTTAAAAGATCCATATCGGAGAGATCTTAAGGAGGCCTTTTCTGGATAGCAAGATAGAATGGCCAGAATCATTTTGGGTAAGGCAGACTCGAACATAAGCCAGAGTCATGTAATGCTGGACTTGGTAGATAATAATCAACCCTTTGAATTGAACCTGGAAGCCTACTGATATGAAAATGATATCTTTTCTGTCATGGTAAGATCTGCCTACCAGCATTTGGTTATTGAATTCTTTTTCTGCTATAGTCTTTCATTTCCCCTTCAAGGGAAGTCCTATAGAGGGAATATTGAGTGATGATAAGGATATGAGTCATTGTCAACAATGTTTTCTAGGTCAGGCGAGGCTGTAAATGAGTATAAGACATACATGCTGCTCAAGGAGGAGTTACAGGTCCAGGAGGACCCCATGATCTTATGAGTGACAGATATGCTCCTTTTCTACTATTTACAGCTCTAGAACTGATATTTCAGCGTGAATGAGATATTATGGACTAGCAATAGCTCCGACTTGCCAGGGTTTTCTAAGCTACAGGGAACAACTTTAACAAATTACCTTAATTATCTTATGTTTCCCCCCTGGTTTTCAAAACAACAGAAAGGAAACTGTTCCACTTTAGCAGCTTTAAGATTTTTTGAATTTGGTACATGGTTTAAGATGTGATTAATCATACATGTGAAGGATTTTCCCTAATGAGAATGTTTTTTTTTTAATAGTACCACAAGTACTGCAAGCTAATTCTGCCTACAGCCTGGAGTTTGATCCTGACTGGCTCAAGATTGACTCAGCCTTTCATCCTTCTGAGTGGGTAAAATGAGGACCCAGATTGGTGAGGGAAATATGCTGACTCTGTAAACTGCTTAGAAAGTGCTATAAAACACTATGAAGAGGTATAAATCTAAGTGCTATTGCTACAACTGCCTGGACATTTTAAAAAAGTCCTGCTTTTTAAATAAATCTACAGGTAGTTGACTTACAACCATAATTGGGACTGGAATTTTAATTACTAACTGATACAGTTATTAATTAATTCATCACATGACTGGACCTGATTTTATGATCATAAATGTTCGCTGATTGCTAAGTGCCCAAATTGCAACCACTTGACTATGGGAGTGATGCAATGGTTGTAACTTCAAAGATAGGTCATAAATCACTTTTTCCGAGCACCATTGTAAATTTGAACCATTGTTAAATGAATGGTTGTAAGTTAAGGACTACCTGTTCATCATAGAACTATATAATACTTATACCAGTTTTCATGATCTGGCTTCCTTCAAAGGATTCTGAGTGCTGTAATTTGAGTACTTAATTTGAGAAGGTTGAGGGACTAAAATAATTCAAATAATGACTCGCAGAGGGTCAATTGCAGGGGAAATTAAGGGATTCAGGCAGTTCAAATGAGTGTAAAGATTTATTGCAAGGTTAAGCTCTCTACAAGAATCTGAACTAATAATGGTCAAGGGAAATTTGTGGAAGTTAAGGATAGAAAGAAATTAAAGGTGGGCTGGACTTAGACCTCTTGTGAGTGTGCAGGAACTCATGACTGATGACGTGTTTGACCCCTCCCTTGGGTTCAGCTTGGTCATCTCCTTTAATGCACCAGCATGAAGAAAAAGGGCAAAAAATCAGCGATGAGATATTGTCAAGAAATAATCAGAACCTGTTGGGTTCTTATAAAAGTATACAGTATATTTAAAAATTTGTGATGCCTCATAAGATCCATACTGACAACGTGAAAATTTTCTTAGGGCAAAATTTATTGTGTCATATGAAGCATACTGCAATTTTCTTCCAGCTCTTTACCTCTCTATAATCTGCAGTAAGGCATGATATGGGGGGGGGGAGAATTTAGAAAAATAGGTACTTTACTAACAGCAATTTTAGCTTATCATGACAATTTTAGCTGCATTTACTTATCTACTTGAATGCTAGTCATTAAGGAATTGTAATTTGCTTTAACAATTTGATGTGGGCTGGTGGATAATTTTATGGTTTAGAAGTTTTCATGCTGGTTAATGCTTTTAAAATCTAATTGATTCACTATCTGAGTTTGTTCAGATGAGGACCCATTAAAAATATTATTTCATGCTTACTGGCATTAGTCTTGTAACCTGATATTAGGACATAGGAAATGAACAAAAGGAACAACAGAATTAGTATTAAAAGAAGCTGTTCAAAAGAAAGCATCACATTCTGAAGACAGACAGAAGGTTATTTTACAGACTTTGGCCTCAAACATCTATCATGTCTTTACTAGCTATAATCATTCTCTCTTTTAATCTTTTGCTTGATAATTAATTTTCCTATGGAAATGCATACTTTTTCAGATTTAGCATAATTTTATTTTAAAAGGTGTTTCTGCTCATTTTCTTAAACTGAAAATAATTACTATACCCACCCTTCCCCATTTCTTTCTCATTTGTTTTTCTGTTTCAAATTTGTTTAAATTTTTATTATTTGGGTCTGCATTCCTTTTAAACTGCTATTTGTATTTTGAAATTCGTGATCTATGTCTTATCTATCTCTTTGACCCTAACAGAACAAACCATTATTCCATATTTTGAATGTTCTTTCAATATTGAATTTATTTTCTCTGTCAACCATTTATTTTTCTTTCATCTTCAGTGGTATTGCTAGCAGTTTATTGTATAGAAGAATCGTCTGTAAATCTATCTTTTAGCTTAGTGTTTTTTATATTGTTAACTTTTTGCTCATTTCTATAAGTAAATTCTACTGTAAGAGCTCTAATATATCCCAGTACTATATCTCAATCAACAATGAATGTTTTTTATACTTACAGTTAGAATAATTCAGCATTTTTAGTTTATTAGTACAGGGATTAAAAACAAAGGACTCTAGTTACTGTATATTACAAAAGTGTATCAGTTAGTATCACATCAAAACAAACTGTTCTGCCAGGGCCAGTTTATTAGTACAGGGATTAAAAACAAAGGACTCTAGTTACTGTATATTACAAAAGTGTATCAGTTAGTATCACATCAAAACAAACTGTTCTGCCAGGGCCAGTTTATTAGTACAGGGTTAAAAACAAAGGACTCTAGTTACTGTATATTACAAAAGTGTATCAGTTAGTATCACATCAAAACAAACTGTTCTGCCAGGGCCAGTTTATTAGTACAGGGATTAAAAACAAAGGACTCTAGTTACTGTATATTACAAAAGTGTATCAGTTAGTATCACATCAAAACAAACTGTTCTGCCAGGGCCAGTTTATTAGTACAGGGATTAAAAACAAAGGACTCTAGTTACTGTATATTACAAAAGTATATCAGTTAGTATCACATCAAAACAAACTGTTCTGCCAGGGCCAGTTTGATGAAGTAATGATCAGTGATTGAGGTCTCTGGGTTATTTTCCGCTAACTCCTATATATAGTTACATTGAGCCCTCAGTCAGGTATGTTCTGTATATGCTTGACTCTTGTGCTCCTTTCTAGAATAGCATGACCCTCAACTTAGTGACATTTAAAAGAGAATTAAAAGCATGTCTATTGGGATGTCTTTATATCTCCATGGGTTGGGGAGTCAGCTGTTGGCTAGATGACACTGTCTTTTAGGGGTTTAGTTTTATAAGCCATGCAAATAACATTGATAGGCATATATTGAACAAATTCAGGCCTTTGAAATGCTTTTCAGATGAAACTCTGCTTCTTGATTTTCCAACTTAAGAAATCTGGATTGCCATCGTTGGACCAGGTAGGTGCTCAGTCTCACCTAAGATGATTGCAGGACCTGATTAATCATTCCCCTGTTACTCGCCCTTTCCTTCAACATAAGCCTTGATAGATGCTTCCTGTGTCAACTGGTCTATCAACACCAGCCTTTTCCTTTGAGGAATTGTTCCCTGCTCATTAGTCTCTGTATCTTTCCTTTGCACACAAGAAAGTCTTCCATTCCCCTTAACCCCTCACCTCCCATTATCTTCTTTGACACTAACACAGACCCTTTCTTTTTTATTTTTGTATTTTCATTGCTAGGATTAAAGTTACTTAATGGGTTTAACAGGCTACCATTAAATCAACTTCAAGATTAATAAAGGGAATAGCAACTGTTGATCAGCAGACAATATGGGGCAGCCACAAGTGGCTGGAGGAAAGAGGTGTGCCAAGGCTGTGACTAGAACAGAATGAAGTGCTGGAAGACATCTACTCTGACAGGATTATGATGGTTTGGTTTGGAAAACCTCAGTTTTGAACTGAAATGAGAAGACGTGAATACAAGGCGAATTTATTCCATGGGAGGAAGAGGAGGCTGTTCCTGCACTCAGGAAGGGAATGGTGGCTCAAATTGGTGAAGGGTCGAGTAAAAGTTTGGGCATAATGAGTACTCTCTAAAAACAAGTCACTATCTCCTGATTTCTAAGCTGGCATTTTAACCACTATACCAAACTGAAGTTCTGAAATACAAGCTTGCTTTGACAACAATTCTAATGGTCATGACTGGGACTGCACAACCAGAGAGCATTTACCTCCCTATCTGGATGGAAGTAGGTAGTTATAGTTGCTAGCCATGGATGTTTTCTATTCACCAAAAAATTATTAAGTTCCAATGGGGATGAAAAAAATGACCTTTTTGCTTTTTGGCGCATTAGTCATGTCTAATGAACTGGATCGGATCCTCAAACATATATTGCTTCCTTGTGGAATAAAATAAATAGACTCATTCACAATATTCTTATGTTCTAAGTAGTTTTGGCTTTATGGTGTACATGCCTCAGGTCTGCACATGGATGAGCCAAAAGTTCTGGAGGTTATTATCCAGATAATCTCTCAAAAGATTATCATTGAATATTTTTTTCCCAATGTCACAACTGAGCTGGTCATTGATTAACACACAGTGATTTGATCCAATTTAATATGGCTTATTAGTTTAGGCATAGCATGCAACATAGTCACTGTTGTGTTAACCCAAGTTTCATAGATAAATCCAACTTTAGTTTAGCCATTCCAAAACTGGCATAGAAAATACTGTGCATTTATATAACAGAAGATAGTTCAGCTGCTAACACATAGGAAAGGTCAATATTTACCAGCTGTGATGGCTGCTGTTACCCCAAATGAATCTGTCCCAAATTCCCCTCCAATCTTGTATGTTAATCAAAGCACTTTTGTTGGTCTTAAGAACTACTAAAACAACCAAGCTTAGAGAGCTCCACAACAACTAAAATGCCATTGAGGAACGTGAGGGAGAATTGTCCGTCTTTTATTCCAGCAATTTTTTTTCTGCAAAAAATGAAATCAAGAAGACACTGAGACTCAAAAGGAGAAAAAAAATAGCAACACTTTATTCATTTAATTAAATCCTTTCATAGATAAAAAAAATATCTAGATTTGTTCTAATAAGAAGGGAACATTTTAGATATTTTGTAGCTGATCAGAAATAAATAATCCTCATACATGAGGGTCCCAAATCTATAGAAAGATGTATATTTTGTATAGATTGTAAATACCTTATTTATTAAATTTGTATGCCATCCATCTCTCTAACAAGTGACTCTGAAATAACAAATGAAATCTTTTACAGTCATAGACTAACATATATTGTAAAAATGGTCACTAAAATGTATGCCTTGATTCAGAGGAAGCAGGATTTGTACTATATTTTAAAATTATTATGCCTGTTAAAAAATCAAAATATTTGGTATTACAATATTGATATGATACGATATAATATGAATATAAAGATAATATGGGAATATGGGTTAAAATAAGTGAAGAACAAATAATAGTACCTTATATTGCAGCCTAACAGGATTGTTTTTCTGTACAAAAATTTCAAACATGCATTAATGGAGATGGGGAACTATTCAGTGGCAACACTGATACAACAGGACTGAATGATGTGAAATTTCTCTGTTGTGCTTGAACTAGAAGTTAGTTGAATTCCAAGGAGTGGCTTGCATTTTGATGGTTTGTTGAAGTGAACATTATCAATAATTAAATGTGGAACCAAAAATGGTATGAGCCTTTAGCTCTTGGATTAGATGGCAAAAATGAAATAAAAGAATACAAAGAGAAAAATGAGTCTTCTTTTTAAAAAAAGTTTTAATTACAATAAAAGGCAATACAAATTAAAGAGAAAAATAGAAAGAGGGAATAAAAGGTAAAACAGAGAAAAAAGAAAGAAAAAATAGGAGAAATTAAAAAAAAAACTAAGAAAGTGATTTCCCATCCTCATCATGGCTCCTAAGCAACTTGTTGGTTGGGTGTATTGATGGTCAGAGAGACATAGGGTCATCTTTCCCCTTTAAAAGTGATATATTGTGGATCTTGAGATTGTGATTGTATAAGGCTCTAGCAATAAATAATGGGGGTGGGTAGGAAGGAAAGCATATTTTCCAGAAAGTTAATGATGGGCTCATAACACTAATCTTTAAAACGTTGTTGTTTAGAAGCACTAGTGGAAATATGAACACATTTAACAAATGCATCAATACCAGGACCAGATGGATTACACCCCAAGGTTCTCAAGGAACTGGCAGATGTGATCTCAGAAACATTGAACTATATTTTTCAAAGATCCTGGAATACTGGGAACTACCAGAGGACTGGAAAAGAGCTGATGTAGTTCCCATTTTCAAAAAAGGTCAGCCTGACCTCAATACCTGGGAAGATTCTGGAAAAGATAATCAAACAACAAATCAGAGAACACCTAGAGCCAAATAAAGTCATTACTAAAAGCCAACATGGGTTTGTCAAAAACAGATCATGCCAGACAAATCTTATCGCATTCTTTGACCAAGTGACAAAATTAGTGGACCAGAGGAATACTGTGGATATAATTTATTTGGACTTCAGTAAGGCATTTGATAAAGTAGATCACAACCTACTACTTGATAAGATAGAAAAATGTGGGTTAGATAGTATCACCACCAGATGGATCCATAGCTGTCTGACCGGCCGTACTCTGCATGTGGTCCTCAATGGAACCGCATCTACATGGAGGGAAGTGTGTAGTGGGGTGTAGTGTTCTAGGCCCAGTGCTTTTCAACATCTTCATCAACTATTTGGACAAGGGATAGATGGGGAACTCATCAGATCTGCAGATGACACCAAGCTGGCAAGAATAGCCAACAATCCAGAAGATAAGCTTAAGATACAGAAGGATCTGGACAGACCTGAACATTGGGCACTATCTAACAAAATGAAATTCAATGGTGAAAAAAGTAAGGTTTTACATTTGGCAAGAAAAACCAAATGTACAGGTATAGTATAGGTGGTTCCTTGCTCAATAGTAGTAACTATGAGAGGGATCTTGGAATCCTAGTGGACAATCACTTAAATATGAACCAGCAGTGTGTTGCAGCTGCCAAAAAAGCTAACATGGTGCTAGCCTGCATTAACAGAGGGATAGAATCAAGATCACATGAAGTATTAATACCACTTTACAATGCCTTGGTAATTACTGCATCCAGTTTTGGTCACCACAATGTAAAAAAGATGTTGAGACTCTAGAAAGAGTACAGAGAAGAGCAACAAAATGATTATGAGAGTGGAGGCTAAAACATATAAGGAACAGTTGCTGGAACTGGGTATGTCTAGTTTAATGAAGAGAAGGACGAGGGGGGACATGATAGCAGTGGTCCAATATCTCAGGGGCTGCCACAAAGAAGAGGGAGAAAAGCTATTCTCCAAAGCACCTGAAGGCAGGACAAGAAGCAACGGATGGAAACTAATCAAGGAGAGAAGCAACTTAGAACTAAAGAGAAACTTCCTGACAATTAGAACAATTAACCAGAAAAATCTGCCTCCAGAAGTGGTGAATGCTCCAACACTGGAAGTTTTTAAGAAGAGACTGGACAGCCATTTGTCTGAAATGGTATAGGGTTTCCTGCCTGAGCAGGGGGTTGGACTCGATGACCTCCAAAGTCCCTTCCAACTTCTTTATTATTATTATTATGCATCATCAGACAGTCAGCCAGATGTTCAGACTGGATTTGGCATTTTGTCTACCTATCGAGTCCTTACCCAGGACCTGGGATAGGCAGATGTGGATGTTTGATGGTATTACAGATATCATTTCAGGATGGAAGCAGTTCCTAGTAAGGCCGCCTTTGCAATTGACTAATAGCGAATTTGTCGATGCCAATGGTGTTCAAGTGGTGCTCCAGTTGTTTGGGGATTGCACCCAAGGAGCCTATTACTATTGGTACTACCCTTGCTTGCTTTTGCCACAGTCTTTCTATTTCTATTTGTAGGTCTTTGTATTTTGTTATCTTCTCCAGTTCTTTCTCGTCTATTTTGCTGTCTCCAGGCACTGCCACGTCCACTATCCAGACTTTTTTGTCTTTCTTATCGACAATTGTTAAGTCTGGGGTGTTATGTTGCAGGTGCTTGTCTGTTTGAATTCTGAAGTCCCAGAGCAGTTTAATTTTATCATTTTCTCTGACTTTCTCTATTTTATGATCCCACCAGTTTTTGCTTACAGGCAAATGATATTTTTTGCAGATCTTTCAATGCACCATTGTTGCTACTTTGTCATGCCGCTGCTTGTAGTCAATCTGTGCAATCTTCTTGCAACAGCTTATCAAGTGGTTCACTGTTTCTTCAGCTTCTTTGCATAGGCGACACTTAGTGTCTGTTGCTGTCTTCTCAATTTTGACTTAATATGCATTTGTCCTTAAGGCTTGGTCTTGTGCAGCCAGAATTAGTCCCTTGGTCTCTTTCTTCAATTTTCCTGCTCTTAGCCATTGCCAG